CTCATCGACGACGGAAGGTGAGTTTTTTCTTCCCTTCGATTCCCATTTCGATTCTAAGCCACCCCAAACCCATATCGATGCCAAAAAAACCAAAGGAGAAGCCGAAAACAGAGGACAGAGCTCGGCTGAGCAGCTACACCTGCGACCCAAAACCTCTCTGGTGAGCCTGAATTCCCTTTCCGTTCCCTTTTATTTTCTGACCATTGGATTTCTGACTTATTTCTAATGTAGGGCAACCGAAGAAAAACTCTGACTGGAAAGGAGAAACGCCAGAGCTACCACACCAGAAACCCCACCCGCTAGTAAGTCTCGATTTTTTTCTTTTTTTCCACCAATAGAGACCACCTAACCTCAAGTTTTGCAGGTTTTCACATAGGACGGACTGAAATTGGCCATACTAAGAGGAGGCACCGCCATAGGTGTCGAAGTCAGTGCTGGAGCAAGGCGGCACCGCTGTGTCGGAACCCTAAACTAGCCTCGAAAAATTTTAAACCCTTATTATGCCCATTTTTCAAGTATTTTCGGATATTTGATGTGTGTTTTTGGTTTTCGCAGAAAAAACTCAAAAAATTCAAGAACTGAGAACTACTGGGAAGTGTAAATGAAAAAAGCGGTGTTTTAAAACACCGAACTCGGGATAAAAATCCTTCATCTTTTCTTCCGTTACAGTTAATTAAAAGTCTAATAAATAATAAATGGTGAAATTGTAAATATTGACAACCCCTGATTAATTTAAATACAGGTCATTGATGGAGTCGGTAATTGGTCAATATGTAATTATCCTATTTTATCTGTACGGGTTCATTTATTGTTATGTTGTTTTGTTTGCTTACTGTTACTACATGCACTTTAATTTATTAGGTTTAATTAATTTCTCACGGATTAGTTTACTCAACCATTTTAGCCATTTAACTTATTTGAATGAATGTCTTGATTTCACATTCTTTAATTATCGTGTATTAAATTACATTGTCTATTTAATTATCATCCTATTGTCCTGTAATTATAAAATGAGATTGTTGCATGTAATGGGTGGTTAAATAATGATGTGGACATGTATGTTTTAGTTAACATTATCAAACCAAAAAAACTTACTAGGTGTCATGGAAAATGATATACGGACCCGGTACACAAGATAAACCCTACCATAGATGTTACCTCGGCCGAACAGAACTGAGAAGTTCCATACTGAAAGGGTTGGGAAGTATTTTGTTCACGCTTAAACCAGACAGGATATTGAAGCGGTGGTATGTTTGGTGCCCATTACTACACGGGGTATGGAGACAACTGGTTGATTAATATATTGAATATTTGGTCCACGTATAGTGGGAACCCCTATGGATCCCCAGCGGCACAGGTAAGTAAGTAAAAAGGTAAA